TAATTATAAAAACTTATTACAATTTATAACTTTATAAAAAAAAAGTACATTGTAAAAATGTGCTATTCTTTCCCTTTAAAATCATTCTAGGAATTATACAGTGATAACTATATATTTATTTAGTGATAAGTAAAAAAGAAAATTTATAGAAATTACAAAAAATTGTATGTTGTTTTTACTGTGTGTATAGTTAACAACTGATTGTTAAAAATATAAAAACATTTAAACATTTTTTTTTTTAGATTTCACTTTCTTAAACAATAAACTTGCATACAATGCAATAACAACTTTAAATATATACAGTATATATGTATATATTTATGGTACATACATTGAAAAATGTATTCAACAATATAAACACACTATAAAGTTAAAAAATCAACAATTTTTTCCAGCACAAATGTTTAATTAAAATTGTTTTTTTTTCTTTTAAAAATTCTTGATAAATTCTTATCTATTAAAATGCATTTTTATATTTTAAGACAGATATACCTTTATAAAATTCTATACAAACTTTTTATGGCACTGATTTTAATAATTTTGACATAATTTTTATTTCATTTCTTTGAATTGTTAATTTTTTTTCTGTTAAATATATATATATATTGGAGGAACATTTAAATATAAGCTATAATTGATATGTAAATTACAAATTTTATCCAAAAAGTAAAGAGTTAAAAAATTGGAAGTTGTAAACTTTTGGCAGTGTACATCTTCATTTTCTTTCTTTTTAAGAGGAGAAATTTTCAATTTATATAGTTTAAAAAATGCTTTATATAAATCACTTATATCTTATGATCGTGTATATTTTTAATTAATATAATAAATTAAAATCAAATAAGAATTATAAGATGGGAAAAATTATAATTCTACTCTTGAGCAGTACTTGTGTCTCATATCACAACATAGTTTCAAATCCTTGCTTGGCTAAAGGTGGATTTTGGTTGGCTGGTGTTTCTTCGACTTGGCAATCGGCTATGGGTGAATGTATTCCGGCTGCTTGTAAAATGGAACCACTACTAGACGATCTCCTTTCGGTTGTAGTGAGGCTTTGTGTCATTTGGGAAGATGTTGATGTTTTAGATTCTAAAAAAGAATAGAAATAAATATCAAGAACGAATTTATTTACATCTTAAAACTAATCACCATCCGAAATTTACCAGATACAATTAGATATTCCAGCCTATTAAGGCACGCTGATGCTCTCTCGAACCATTTATATAACTTCCTTCTCAATTCGGTAGGAGCAGCCATTGTATAGATAACTGGATTAAGGGCGCTGTTGATGGGTAATATAAATACCACTACGCAAGCATATAAACTATCTAAGGGACATGGAATATAATTAGTAACAAACGCAATTTAATTGAAACATTAACACGTCTATGCTTACCAGAAATTGTTATTTGATTGAGGGCAATGACTTTAATAACGACGATAGGAATCCAACATAAACAGTCAGTTAACACTATAAAAAAGAATCTCATAGCTAAAACGATATCCTCGTGTTTCTTTATCATAACTGGTCTTGCTCTTTGACGATCGTCTTTGATGATTAGAAACATCCTCAAGTAGAGAATAATAATCAATATTACCTAAATGACAAAAATGTATTGGTATTTTTAATTTATATACTATAATTCGAGTCTTCTTCTAACTTTAATAATAAATTTACCGCAGTAAAGTTAATTCCTAGAAAGACAAACGCAGAATATTGCCATCCTAACATGTAAGGATCATCTATATGAAGAGGAAAACAAAGCCCATTTGTGGAATAAAAGTCCTGCCCTTTCTGCCAGTGAAACATTGGAAACAGAGCTAGTAGAATTCCGAATACCCAAATAATAATTAAACTGTATCGTGCTGCAGTTATGGATACTACACGAACGTTACTCCTGATGCATCTGTATCTCTCGACTGTTATCAAAGATAAAATAAGCACGCTAACTTCACAAGATATCATAGCCAGGATGCCACATATGGTGCATTGCCAACTGGACATCCAAGCGTGGGCATGTCTATTATATTTGTTACGAAAAGCTAAATCCTGTGCTCCTATGGCCAAAAGATATATTCCCATCAAAAAATCAGCCACTGTAAAGAGGGGGAAAAAATTGTAAATTTAGCTGCCTGATCTAAAGAAGAATTTATATAAAGATTTACCATTTAAGAATTTACCTGCTAAATTTTTTATGAATAAAGATAATACGTGATCTTCTTTCCTAGATAAAACTCTCCATGTAAGTACTATAGTATTACCCATACAAGTTGTTAATGCTACTATCCATACGGAGAAACGAAGCATGGGCCAAACCAGAAGATGATCGATGGAAGATAATCCATCGGTTTTTGGCATGCAATTACGAACATAAGGAGCGTAACTACAATAGAGGAATTTTCTAAAATAACTGTTAAAAGAATACAAAATTTTTAGATTATTCTTTATACAAAACATTTAATTTATAAAATGAATTCAATACTTACATAAATTCTAAATTTTTTAGAGATTTAAAGTGATGTATATTGATATTTTCAATTTCAATTCCACTCAAGTTCCTTGTAAAAAAAAAAAGGGGAAAGCAATCAGAAAGTTTTGTCATGAAAAATATAGTAAAACCTGTCTAAAACGGAAGTTTTCGTTTTATAGAGTCTGAGTTAGACAAGTGTTATTGTAATAAGTGTAGGTTATAAGTAGTTAAATAGCAAGCCAATGATAATGAGTTTCTTACAGAATGGATTGTTATTGGCTTGCTTACTGGTTGCCATTTAAACTTACCCAATCATATTTAATTCGCACCATCTAAAACAAGTATTGTGTTAAAAGTTCGAAAGATGGCGCCACAAACAAAAAAAATTTTTTTTAATTATTTTAATTTATGATGTTTTTAAATTATAAAAGTGTTTTAAATATACAGTTAGCCTTTAAAGAAAATAAAGAATTTGTATTAAATTTTTAAGTTTTATTATTAAAAAATAAATATAAACTTTTATCTAAATAACTATTCCAAAACTTACAATGATTTCAAATTAATAAGATGATGAAAAATCTCTACAGGAAGTGAAGTTAGAGGGTTATACTCCAATTTCCTTTAAAAAAGTCAGAAAAAAATTTGAATCTTTTATATTATAAATTGATATAAAGAATAATTATAAAAACTTACAATTTAGATAAATTTCTTAAGCTGTAAAAAAGCTTTGGTCTAAGAAATTTTAGTTGATTAAAAGAAAGATTTCTACAAAAAATATAAATACAATTAAATAATAATAATAATTTTTCAATTATTTTTTAAAATCATATTTAAAAGTGGAAAAACTCACAATTCAGTCAGCTTAATGAGTCTTTGAAAGGCAGTCTCATCAATATCATCAATTTTATTATCTTTAAGAGACCTTTTTAATAGATTTTAATTATGTATATATGCATTTATTATTAAATATAATTAATTAAAACTTTACAATAAAAACTTACAAATATTCTAAATTTATTAACCATGAAAAAGTGTGACTTTTAACTTTAGAAATTTCATTACTTCTCAAGTCTCTGAGGGAGAAGAGAAAATGTATAATTTATTTAATTTTTATTTCATATAAAAACTTTAAAAAATAATCTTTTAATCATTAATTTTAGAAGAAAAATGCATTTTTTAATATAAAAAATATTAAAAAATATTAATAAATAATTAAATATCTCATACTCACAACCAATAAAGATTTCTATGTCTAGGAAATTCAGTTTCTTTCATTGTAAGATAATTATAACTCAAGTCACTATTAATAAAATAAGGTAGAATAGACTCTAATATATATATATTATAAATAGAACATTTTCAATTGATATTCATACTTACAATACACGAAGAGAAGGTAAATCATGAAGTATTCTAACATCCATTTTCTTTAATTTATTCTTTTTTAAATCTCTATGGAAACAAATTTCTAAAGTTTATTTTCTCGTTAGTTGAATGTCTTAATCAAGAAAATATAAATAAAATTTTTAACTCACAGCCAATCGACGTTGTCTAAATGTTGAAACATACCACGAGATATCTCTTGAATGTCGTTTCTCATTAACAATCTATTATAATAGAAATGAATGATTAACTTACGAATTTTCAATTTTTATAGTTAAATTTAACACGAGACTTACAAAAATTTTAATTTATAAAGTCCGATAAATGTTCCATTTTCGATTTTTCTTATTAAATTTCCACCTAAATGACTAAAATAATAATAATAATAAATTTTTCTATGAGAAGATACAATTCAGCTTACAAACTCTTCAAGAAATTCTTCAGAAACTGAAGAATTCGTCAATAACGATAATAGGGAAAGGATGCAACAACAACGATAATAGGAAGAGGGTTCAGCAGCAACGATAACAGAGAAGGGGTATAGAAACAACGATAACAGGGTGAGGGTTCAGCAACAGCGATAACAGGAAGAAAGTTCAGCAACAACAATAACGGGGAAAGGATGCAACTAGTGTTTCTCAAACGGGATCCCGGGATCCCGGTTGTTTTTTTAACCCGGGAAATTTTTCTTATCCCGGGAAATCCCGCAAATTTCTTAAAAATTCACTTTTTTTCTTATTTTGTGTTAAGGTTGAGGAATTTTGCAAATAGAAAGCATAATTAACTCATTCACTGTCAGAATACATTTGTATTTATTAATTTTAAACCTACCTATTAGTTTTTTTAATTTTTGCTAGTTATGGCATGTCCATAGTATCGATAATCAATACGTAGCTTATTTGTGCCAGGACTCTGAAAATTCTTTACTTGTCAGAACCTGTAATATATGGAATAATTGCACTTACGCTGTCTTAATTTTAACCATGCCCAGTAGCTTCAATAAATGTGTAACGTTAGATTGTGCAAATTGGGCCAAGATACAAACGAGTATAAAGTCTGCAAGTATGAAGTTTTTCTTCATAAACCTGATTATTAAAACCAAGCGAATTGCCGAATTATCGAGCTATAAGCGCGATGCCGCTATTAAAGCAGCCGATGTAGACAAATCAAAAATACTAGAGAGCAAAAGAAGTACTACAATCGCGAAAACAAACTCGAAATCCTCCAGGCTACAGGTGAAAAAACACATAATATCTGTCTTCTCTTAAATGCATTAAACACGATTCCAATCATATCAATTGAATCGGAAAGGGCATTCTCGGTAGCAAGACTTTCATTACTAAAATAAGAATTAGAGTGAGTTATCGGAGTATTGATCATCTTTGCTTTTTAAAATCTTATAAAAGTTTACAATATTTTGTATTATATTTTATTTAAAAAAACGAAAATTACCTTCTAACTTATAAGTTTGATCTAAGTTCAATTTTTAATTTTTAACTCAATTCAAAGCAATTTTGTTGTTGTTGTTGTTGTTGTTATTGTTGTTGTTGTTGCTGCTGCTGCTGTTGCTGTTGTATGCAGTTTCTAGCAAACTTTAATAATTTTTTTCCTATTTTTGAAAATTTCTATGTAATTCAAATGTAATTTTTATTATATATCTTACACAGCATTATTAATATGATTTTGGATGATACAGAACTTTAAAATTACTTTAAAAAATGAAAAATAATTATATCATTTAATTTCAAGATATTTTGTATACCTTAAAAATAATTGATTCTATCCCGGGATTTCCCGGGATCCCGGGAAACAGTTCACTTTTATCCCGGAATCCCGGGACAAGCAAAAGACCGGGAAATGAGAAACCCTAGGTGCAACAACAACAACGATAACAGAAAAGGATCAAACAATAATAACAGGGAGAGAGTTCAGCAACAGTGATAACGAGGAAAGGGTTCAACAACATCGATAACAGGGAAAGGGTGTAACAACAACAATAACAGGGAAAGGGTTCAGCAACAACGATGTAACAACAACAATAACAGGGAAAGGGTTCAGCAACAACGATAAGTGAAAGGTTCGACAACAATGAGGGAAAGGCATAACAACTTTCAACTTTCTTCGGTTTTTGTTGTTGTAATAACAAATAAATATAGATTATTCTCATTAATTAAGTTACATAAAGTTAAAACTTACAGAATTTTAAGATTTCTATAATTTTGAAATGATCCTCTTTCGAGTGTTTCGATACTGTTGTTAGATAGAACACTAAATAAAAATTTAAATAATAATAATTATTATTATTATTTAAATAATTTTTAAAATATAAATTTATAAAATACAAGTTGGCCCAAATGTCAGTTAACCAAGCGTTTTCGTGTTATAACTATGAATATGGAAAATAATTCTGAGCTTAGAACAATGCGTCTTTCTTTTACAAAATTGGTAGAAAAAAAAATATAATTAAGCATTTAGTTATTTAAATAAAACAGCAATTTAATCTTTACAATCGTTAACCGATTTTTGGGCCATCCCGTGAATAAATAACGTTAATTTATGCTAATTCTTTTATCATTAAATTTACAATAAGTCTTACATGAATGACTTTGGAACACTCACAGTTTGGTGATATTACTAGAAAGATTGTTGGGTATATTTTTTAGATGAAGATTGGTGCAGGAAAGCCAAGTGAACTGTCGACAATTACACCCAGCAGGTACTGGAGAAATAGCTAGAGAAAGTGATTCATTGTTAACGAACATTTCAGAAAGTCTAAGATACAATTGATATAAATGAACTTACTGCAGTTTCTGTAAGAAGAAAGATAGACGACATTAACCATTGGCGTCTTGTTTAGATCTTTTAAAATTGATGCCAACGATCCGTGAATATCATCTTTAAAAAAAATAAATAAAATATTAAAAATTTGCGTTAAATGTGTAATAAATGAGTAGTGAGGCCTCATAAATCAAATTGTTGCTTAGGAGTCTCTAGATTTCTGAGGATTTTAATATACTGGGGGATTTTAATATATTGTTTTAGAGGCCAGGTATATTAAAAAAAAACACATACATACAAAAGCGGCTTAAAAAATGATTATAGTTATCCTATAATATAAGATAACGTAAGTTACGTGTAATCTCACCTCTGTCACAGAATAATGTATAGTACATATAGGCCCTAGCTCACATGATAATGTACTGAACTGTACAGTACATACAGGGCAGTGTAGATAGTCAATACAGGATTTAATTCAGGTTCGGTACATACAATCGAACGATTAATTTGTAACGCACGTTTTTGAGGCCCCTGTAAATGTGAGGCCCGTACCAAATGACGCTATTGATTCCTTTATAATAATGCCTGGTAAATCACTTCTCGTTTAAAAATTTATTATACTAAAATAATATTTTTAAAAAAAAACGGATTTCTTTTAGACAAATTCAAGATATGAAAATCGAAACGTGACAATATGATTGAAAATGAAAGGAAATCGTTCGAAAGAATGGACATTATTAAAATCTTGCCTAAAATTCCGAGGAAATAATCCAATGCAAGAGACATTTTGTCATATTTTTAAATTGTTTAAACAGAAACAAAAAGAAGGGGGAAAAAATATATATATATATTAAAACTCGAGTTACGTGTCTTATAAGTGTCAAGTCACGTATTGCGTAACGAATAGAATATATTAAATTTCGAGTTAAATTTTACGTTTTATGCTATATTATTAAAAGAAATTACCACAATTTTCTTCGTCTTCGCCATGTTCGCAATGTACGATTCCATCACAATGATACACTCTATCTAAACAGATGGAAGAATTTCCGCATGGAAATTTCTCAGCTTCGCATATGAATTCCTCTGAAAATAAAAGAAAGAAAATTCATTAAAATAAAATAAAAACATAATAAAAATGAGTTATTAATTATAATCATTAATCTGTTAAATTTTTATTCACGTATCACAAATTAATCAGTCAACAATGCGATAAATCATTAACTTTTTCGCTAACTTCTGAAGCTTAACTTTTTGTTTTCTTTAAAAAAAAAAAAATGCATAAATTCTAGCAAATTATATAAATTAGATTAATTTAAAAATTAATTCCTTATATATTTATGATTTTTTTTAAAATTATTTATGCAGCTTGCATGTGAAATTAGTAATTCATGTTTATATTGTTTAATGAAAGAACATATCAATTTACTAAATTTCAAAAGATGAAAGGAAAATAATTAATCCTTCAAGAATTAATCGTTGTATATATATATATTCTATCCCAGGATCCCGGGAAACAGTTCACTTTTATCCCGGG